TTTATTAAAAAATGGTCAGCCGAATAGCAGCTGCATCCAATCAAATGCATCTGCTGCTTGTATATTTTGGCAGGTGGGAGATTTGTCCATCTGTACTGTATAGCAGCCTTTCTCAGCCCTTTCACCGCATAGGAACCCTCAAAATAGTTTTTCCAGTATCCCGGAACCCCTGCTAAAAAAAAATACTTGTGAAGGAAGCGTAGGCGGGACAGAACGCACACGGAGGATGATAAACACACACCGTTTTCTTGAAATAGGAGAGACACCCAATCGAGGTAACAAGGGTAGCGTCTGGGTACCCAAAAAGGGGGGGAAGAGGGGGAGGAGTCCAAACAGTGATAATCCGGCTCCGTATAGGGCGATTCAGGTAGCGATGGTCAGTGGGGAAGTCCAGGTAGCTATGATAATCCAGGTACACAATGGGGCAGTCCAGGCAAGCAATAGTCCGGGTATTCAATGGGGCAGTCCAGGCAAGGGAGAATATGGGTGTACAATGGGGCAGTCCAGGCAGGGGCAATATGGGCATTCAATGGGGCAGTCCAGGCAGGGGTGATATGGGGATTCAGTGGGGCAGTCCAGGCAGGGGAAATATGGGCATTCAATGGGGCAGTCCAGGCAGGGGTGATATGGGCACCCGTTTAGGCAGTCCAGGCAAGGAGCACACAATAAGAACAGTTCCACACGCCCCCGCATGCTGCTTGTAGGGGCACTCATGGCAGATAGTTTGCAGGGGCAAGCAGCAGACCATGTGCAGGATCACTCACGATGTCAGGGGCGGCAGCAGCCAGGAGACAGGGACCCATGCAGCACTCAGCTTTCCAGGGACACACAGCGGTCAGCAGACAGGAACAGCTTTCCGGGGACAAACAGCGGTCAGCAGGCAGGAACAGCTTTCCGGGGACAGACAGCGGTCAGCAGGCAGGAACAGCTTTCCGGGGACAGACAGCGGTCAGCAGGCAGGAACAGCTTTCCGGGGACAGACAGCGGTCAGCAGGCAGGAACAGCTTGCCGGGACAGACAGCGGTCAGCAGGCAGGAACAGCTTTCCGGGGACAGACAGCGGTCAGCAGGCAGGAACAGCTTTCCGGGGACAGACAGCGGTCAGCAGGCAGGAACAGCTTTCCGGGGACAGACAGCGGTCAGCAGGCAGGAACAGCTTTCCGGGGACAGACAGCGGTCAGCAGGCAGGAACAGCTTTCCGGGGACAGACAGCGGTCAGCAGGCAGGAACAGCTTTCCGGGGACAGACGGGGACAGACAGCGGTCAGCAGGCAGGAACAGCTTTCCGGGGACAGACAGCGGTCAGCAGGCAGGAACAGCTTTCCGGGGACAGACAGCGGTCAGCAGGCAGGAACAGCTTTCCGGGGACAGACAGCGGTCAGCAGGCAGGAACAGCTTTCCGGGGACAGACAGCGGTCAGCAGGCAGGAACAGCTTTCCGGGGACAGACAGCGGTCAGCAGGCAGGAACAGCTTTCGGGGACAGACAGCGGTCAGCAGGCAGGAACAGCTTTCCGGGGACAGACAGCGGTCAGCAGGCAGGAACAGCTTTCCGGGGACAGACAGCGGTCAGCAGGCAGGAACAGCTTTCCGGGGACAGACAGCGGTCAGCAGGCAGGAACAGCTTTCCGGGGACAGACAGCGGTCAGCAGGCAGGAACAGCTTTCCGGGGACAGACAGCGGTCAGCAGGCAGGAACAGCTTTCCGGGGACAGACAGCGGTCAGCAGGCAGGAACAGCTTTCCGGGGACAGACAGCGGTCAGCAGGCAGGAACAGCTTTCCGGGGACAGACAGCGGTCAGCAGGCAGGAACAGCTTTCCGGGGACAGACAGCGGTCAGCAGGCAGGAACAGCTTTCCGGGGACAGACAGCGGTCAGCAGGCAGGAACAGCTTTCCGGGGACAGACAGCGGTCAGCAGGCAGGAACAGCTTTCCGGGGACAGACAGCGGTCAGCAGGCAAGGGTAGCTTTCCAGGGACAAACCGTGATCAGTTGGGTCTGGGCTGTGGGGTCCTGGCCTCAGCTCAGACCTCACACAACTGTTCTCTTCCAGAGCAGGGGACCAATAAGTCTTCAGAGGGCTGTGTCTTGGCCGCAGCTTCAAGACCACACAGGCATTATAGGACCACAAGTCCCAGCACAGTTCCATGCATCTGCTAGTTAGGCTCAGTTAGGAGAGACTTCTTCTCTCTAGCTCTCTCATTCATAAAGAAGACCGCATGGCCTTTTCGATTGTCCAAACCCCCAGACTCAAGGTCTGGTCTGGCCTTAGCTTAGCCACAAAAGACCATGCTGTCTGTGCGCCCTGCTGAGATCAATCCCATTTCCCACCCCCTGCGGGCAAGGGAACTCCAAATTGTAGACAAAGCAGACAAGTTGATTGTTTGGCCACAAACGAAACACAAAAATAAAAGTATTTCTGCTGTCCCTCAGTACTATATCTACAACTCATGATGCATTGGTGTGATGGTCAGTGGGAAGAATACTCCTCACACGTATGGTCATTGGGAAGAATTACCCCCTTATAGATAGCTAAAAAGATCTATGGTGTCAGCGGGAACTTATCTGAGGGGCAGAAATTGCTTAAGGATCCCCTGGCAACCTCTAGAGCCATGTATCTCAAGTAGTGGGTTTGGAGCACGGGCAGACTTGTGCCCTCTAATGCCCCAATAAAATGTCTGGTACCCTGACAACATAGAGCTTTAATAAAAAAAACCACCGGCCACACGAATATAAATGTTAAAAGGGCAGCACAGTGGCTAAATGGTTAGCACTTCCGCCTGGCAGTACTAGGGTCGTCGGTTCAAATCCCAACCACGGCACCACCTGCCTGGAGTTTGCATGTTCTCCCTGTGCCTGCGTGGGTTTCCCCCGGGTACTCCGGTTTCCTCCCACACTCCAAAGACATGCTGGTAAGTTAATTGGCTCCTGTCTAAATTGGCCTTAGTATGTGTATGTATGAATGTGAGTTAGGGACCTTAGATTGTACGCCCCTTGAGGGTTAGGGACTAATGTGAATGTACAATATGTAAATGTAAAGCGCTGCGTAAATTGACGGCACTATATAAGTACCTGAAATAAATAAAGGGCCAGGACTGCAGTTACGGCTGGCCTTAATATTTGTATTATTGCAGCCAGCTAGAACAGAATGAACACGACCTCAGAGTTGCTTTGTCTACCATCACCCCAGACCTTGAGATACTTATCAAGAGCAAGAAGCATCCCCAGTTTTAGTTCTAATTCATTTCATATGTTTCAATTACTGTTTTATTTTATTGGGTTTTTACCTCAACAGCACTTTCATTTTCCCTGTGATTACTGCACTATCCATTCTGGAAGGAAGCTGTTTGTTTACTGTTTAAAAACTGCATATACATTGCAGAATACTGCACAAGTTGTTTAGTGGAATAAATTATAACGTTTAGAAATTAAATTATTTTTGGGTCGCGACTTGATGACCAAAGACAAATATGGGTCCTGAGGTCGAGAATTGCTGCTCTAGAGGAATCATATGGTTCCATGGTCATTTTTTTTCAATATTTCTAAATCCTGCATCTTTCATTTAATATAATATCTGGTGATCCCACCATCAGGCTGCATTCATACCGGGGCGTTTGGTTCACATCTCCACATCAAGTCGCTTGAAGCTCAACGCTGTTTTGGAGCTTTTTTTTTTTTTTTTTTGTAGCTCAATTTAAGCAGATTGGGTTTTTTCTTAAGTGTCCGTCCCCCCCCCCCCCATAGAAATGCAGATTGTGTGTTTTTGGTCATTCTGTTGTGTTTCTCTGCTTGAGATATAATAAAATATTAACCCCTAACTCCAGCCCAAAAATTAAATGAAATAAATAACATAAGTTATAGGGCAGCACAGTGGCTAAGTGGTTGGCAGTACTAGGATTGTTGTTTCGAATCCCAGCCACTGCACCTCCTGCCTGGAGTTTGCATGTTCTCCCTGTGCCTGCATGGGTTTCCTCCGGGTACTCCGGTTTCCTCCCACACTCCAAAGACCTGCTGGTAGGTTAATTGGATCCTGTCTAAATTGCCCTAGTATGTGTATGTATGAATGTGAGTTAGGGACCTTAGATTGTACACCTCTTGAGGGTTAGGGACTGATGTGAATGTACAATAGATATGTAAAGCACTGTGTAAATTGACGGCGCTATACAAGTACCTGAAATAAACATGTTAACCCCTAACCTTAAAAGAAAATAATGATAAATATTAATAAATAACTAAAAAAATAATAATAAATACATAAAAGCTGATGAAAAAGTTAAACATCAACAAATGAGGAAACGTATGATATTTTTTATATTGGCTAGTAAAAAAGCCAAAGCCTCAAAAACGTGAGTATAAGTACCTGTAATAAATAAAATGCTCAAAAACACAACTCTCGTCTTTTTCATAGGGTGATGACATTCCTGCCTGCAGATTGTGCGCCCACATTGTCACCCAGTCACACAAATGCCTGACTGAGATTACAGTTGGCCAGTTCAGCACAAATCATGGGCATCCCCAAAAAAGTGTGGCACTCGCAAAACATTGAGGGAGGCTGTAGACGAGAGGAAAAGGCAAACTTTGGGCCTCCAGCTGTTGCAGAACTAAAAGCACCATCGTGCTTCTAGGAGTAATGCTTGTGACTCTGTCTTGAAATGCCTCATAGGACTTATAGTTCCACAGCCGTCGAAGGGCCAAAGTTACACTGGCATGGTCCATGAATTGCATGTAGACTGGAAGTGGCTGAATGAGACAGCGGGAGATAGACAGCAGTGAGATTCAACAAAAAGGAGAAAACCAAGTATTTTTGGTCTGTTAAATATACTCTTTAAAGCATTTTACCCATTTTAGAGGTTCAACAAAATACTTGTTGGACTTTCCAAAACTCTTGTCAGTTGATAACTTCCTGTACTGCATTCTTATTGTGATTTATCAGATAGCTATGTGTATACAATATTTTGTATCCATTTTTCTTTACATTAATAGCTTACCTTCTGTCTTTCCTTAGGTGTAACCATGGGGATTTGTCTGTGGTTCAGTGTCCTCCTCCTCACCAGCGTGGTTGCTGCCAACAAGTTTTGTTTCCCCGGCTGCTCTTGCGAAGTTGAAACCTTTGGCTTATTCGACAGTTTCAGCCTGACCAAAGTTGACTGTAGTGGAGTGGGTAACCACATTGTCCCGGTTTCAATTCCTTTGGATACATCTTACCTGGATCTTTCAAACAACAAGCTAACAAGTGTTAATGAATCTGTTTTGTCTGGTCCAGGTTACACGACCCTGGTCAATCTTAACCTAAGTTACAACCAACTGGTGAAAATTTCACCTACCACTTTCTCTAAACTGAGATACTTGGAGTCTTTAGACTTGAGCCACAACCTACTGGAAGAACTTCCTGATCACAGCTTCTTCTATTCCCCTCTGGTGGAACTTGACTTGAGTTTTAACAGGTTACAGGGAATACAAATTGGGGCCTTCACCTCGAAAAGTAATGGCAAAGCAATCCATATCAACCTTACCAACAATCTGATCAACTCTATCTCAAGAAGACCCGATGACCCTGTTCCAAACATCCAGAGTTTGGACTTGTCTGGGAATCAACTGCGTTCTGTGCATGGTCTTCAAGGAATTCCTCTACAATACCTTAACTTAGACAGAAACCCCATCTCTACAATTGAGGATCATAACTTTTTGGGGCTTAAAGGATTAACCCACCTGTCTCTCAGTAAAATGGAGAATTTAAGGGAGATTGCCCCACATAGCTTTAAAGATCTACCAGCTCTCCAAATCCTTGACTTTTCCAATAATCAGAACTTGAAGACTCTCAGCAAAGATGTATTTGTTGGGCTGAGCTCCTTACAAGAGTTGAACTTGTTAAACTCTGGTGTTGCATCCTTGCCAAAGGACACCCTCCAGCATTTACCATCAATGAAAAGCATTACCTGGGGAAAGAACATTCATTGTGTCAAGACTCTGAAGGAAAGCCAGTTCCATCTGCAGAATGGGGTGGTTCGAAGAGAAGTCTTGGTCTGCCGTGATGATCGAGGTGCTGTATCAGCACAAGATGTCTTATAATTTTTTTTTTTTTTTTTTTTTATTCTCATGTATAGGCTCCTTCTTTTGGAGATCATGTGCCTTTTTCGAAGAAAAGATTGTCAGTAATTTATTTATAATTTTGTATGAGCTATTTTACTGAAGAAAAGCTGCATTGAATGATGTTACCAATTTTATAAAGACTTAAATAATTCATAGTAATCCACTTTTGGACCAATATGCGTTTTATGATCAATGTGTGAAGACACTATTTTCATCTGTTTATTTTTTTATGTGCTAAGCTCAAATAAAGGAAGTTAAAAGTATGGTGAATACGAGTGGTTTTACTGTTACATGATATCACTGTGACCTACAAAGTCCCATGCCATAAAATGTTCTGGTTTCCACACCCTTCCAAATAAATGCTTCACTTGGGATTATTTGATTGCGTATAATGTGAGCGATATAATCGCCTTCAAAGATATATGAAAGTAAATTCCAAGCAAATAGCTAAATACACAAATCAAATATAGAAACTGTATATGGGAGATGTATTTAAAAAAAAAAAAAACATTTAATGGCGTGTTAGTGAATATAAAGCTGCATTATTTTATGTCCTTGTTTCTGCCTGAAGTTCGGTTTTAGAACTCATTTACATCAGGTGTGTTGGGACTGCGCTCGGCAGCTTGGTCGAGTGCAGTCCATTTGTATGGACAAGCTGAATGCCTTGTTTCTTATTAGGTCAGTTCACGCCACCATGTTGCAGTAATGTGTACTGAAAAAAAGTAAATTGTGTAGTACTTTTTTAGCACACCATGGTGAGACTGATATAACTGAATGAAATATTACTTTGTGACATGTCAGTCAAGCTCTAAAAACAAAAAGATGCCATGCGATTTCATTGTTTAGAGCACACAGGCGCTTCAGGGGTCTCACCACACACCAGTGGATGTGCCCTAATGCCACTACTGGTGTAATGAGCTCTAAAAATGTGACTGAACCTCAGACTCTAGATCAGTGGATCTCAACCTCCAGGCCACGGCCTCCCATCTCCTGAGTCTCAAGCCAGCTACAGATCTGATACCTCCCATATTGCTCCCAGGCTCCCTGAGAGCCCTAAGCATCCACAGTCTGCTGCAGAGCCTCCAGCCTTCCACAGTGCCTTCAACGGTGTCCCACACAGCCCCCCCTAACTTAGAAACCTCATGCCCTACAGGACCACCAAGTCTTCTAACCCCTTCCAGAACCTTCATCCTCCCCACAGTGCCTCCCAGCTTCCTTTAGAAATCTTGTCCCCTACATGACCACCAAGTCTGCTGCAGAATCTTCTAACCCCCTCCAGAACCTTCATCCTCCCCAGTGCACCCCAGCTTCCTTCAGAAATCTTGTCCCCTACAGGACCACCAAGTCTGCTGCAGAATCTTCTAACCCCCTCCAGAACCTTCATCCTCCCCAGTGCCTCCCAGCTTCCTTCAGAAATCTTGTCCCCTACAGGACCACCAAGTCTGCTGCAGAATCTTCTAACCCCCTCCAGAACCTTCATCCTCCCCAGTGCACCCCAGCTGCCTTCAGAAATCTTGTCCCCTACATGACCATCAAGTCTGCTGCAGAATCTTCTAACCTCCTAGAACCTTCATTCTCCCCACAGTGCCCCCCCCCCCCCCCCCCCCCCCCGCTTCCTCCAGAAACCTAATCCCCTACAGGACCAGCAAGTCTGAAGCAGAATCTCCTAAACTCCTCCAGAACCTTCATCCTCCCCACAATGTCTCCCCTCTTCCTCCAGAAACCTCATCCCCCTACAGGACCACCAAGTCTGCTGCAGAATCTTCTAACCCCCTCCAGAACCTTCATCCTCCCAAGTGCCCCCCAGCTTCCTTCAGAAATCTTGTCCCCTACAGGACCACCAAGTCTGCTCCAGAATCTCCTAGACTTCTCCAAAACTTTCATCCTCCCTACAGTGCCCCCAGCTTCCTCCAGAAATCTTATACCCTACAGAACCACCAAGACTGCTGCCGAATCTCCTAACCCCCTCCAGAGCCTTCATCCTCCCTGCTGTGCCCCAGCTTTCTCCAGAAACTCCATCCCTTACGGGAAGTCTCCTGCAGAATTATCAAACTCCCCTGAACCCCTACTTGGTTATTTTTCAAAAGGTCACCCTCTGCATCATGTTTCATCATACATTTCATGATGCTAATTTATGAACACATCTCACCAGAAAGTCTACTTTTTTCCAAGCCTTCTAGTGCAGTTAGTATTTTTCCTGAACATCTCTGGAGAGAACAGCACGTACAGTTAGGCCTGGTTCACACCCTTGGGGCCCCCCGGGCAATAGGGGATCATGGGGCCCCTGTGTCCTCGCCCAAACTTAAACCACACCCAAAAAAAGCCTATGAAAGGTACCAGAGGCATCTCATGGTGCCCCTTACTGACCCCGGGCCCTCGGGCAGTGCCTGGGTTCCCAAATGGTCAGTCTGCCCCTGTTCACACCTATGCATTTTTAGTGTATTTTGCAGAAACACACTATAGTCCATTTGACGTGGTTTCCTATGGGACACATTCACATCTATGCATTTTTAGCATATTTTGCAGAAATGCACTATCGTCCATTTGACTTGAGTTTCTATGGGACACATTCACATCTATGCATTTTTCAGCCGCCTCGTTTTTGGAAAGGATCAGGGACGTTTTTAAATTAAAACCGGTTCATTCTTGGTTCGATAGGCTTCAATGGACATGCAGCAGAAATGCATGAAGTGCATTTTTGATGCTTTTTTTTTTTTTTTTTTTTATTTGACTTTGATGTCACTTTGGTGGGAATTTGGATGGGTGCGACCTTGTTGGGGTTTTTTGTGGGTTTTTTTTTTTTTAAGCCAATAGGAAAGTATGACTGTTCTGTTCATGTAGTGCGACTTTACATGCTCTGGCTACTCAAGTAGCATCAAAGTTGCACCTATCCAAAGTCACATCCAAGTCCATACTTTCCTATTGGTAAGAAAAACCCACCAAATGCGGCACAAACGTGTGTTCCAAAATACAAAATTCACTCAAACGCACCCAGACAAATGCATCAATCAACACGTGATTGTGTGAACCTAGCCTTAAAGCTGAAATTTAATCTGCTCATGTTCTGTCTTTCCTGGTTCCTCTTTTTTCCCCTTCATCAACAAGCTAATAACGTCTTTAACCACTTCCAAGTCCGGACACTTTCGCCCCTTTCTTGTCCAGGACAATTTTCAGCTTTCAGTGCTATCACACTTTGAATGAAAATTGCGCGGTCATGCAACACTGTACCCATATGAATGTTTTAGCATTTTTTTGAGACAGAGAAAACTTTATTTTGGTGGTGTTTATTCACCACTGGGATTTTTTTTTTTTTTTTTTTTTTTGCTATATAAGAAATGAAAGCCCAAAAATTTTGAAAAATTCTTATAAAATTTAGCAAATCTTTCTTTATAAATCTTGGCCAAAATATATTCAGTTATCTTTTTAGTAAAAAAAAAAAAAAAAAAACCCAAATTAGTTTACAACCACAAATTATAATTTTTCAAATTTTTTTTTTTTATAGTTATAAGTTTTTTTGGGGGGGGGTTTAACATACTGTCACCCTAGCAGTACAGTGTCACCATAGTGATTTTTTTTTTTTCCACACTGATTGCTTTTACACCCATAAAGGCTGTAAAAGCAATCATTTCTCCTTCTCTCTGGCTGCATTCTTGCAGCCATTGAGAAATGTGTGAGCTGTGATTGGTCACAGCTTGTCACATGGTACAAGGCTGTTGTGAATAGTCTTGTACCATGTGACCTCTGTGCTCATTCACAGATTTTACACGTAGTAATGCAGGCCATAGACGGGTCGTTTATCAACCAAATTTTTGTCTGTACAAAAAATCAGCCGATGTTTCACACCATTAGTAGGGCATAGTCGTCGGCTGATTTTCGCGGTTCTTCTCATTTCTTTTTATCAGTCGTGCTGGAAAATCTAAAAAAACCGACTGATTTTTCGTTTTTCAGCCAACAATTCGGCCAATAAACGTCCCGTCTATGGCCTGCATAAGCAATGATGTCAGGAAGTGACATCTTGCTTACTACTCTTTATGATTGGGACCTTGTACAGAGGTCCCATACAACGATCGGTGTTCCACTGTGTCCGGAGGACACCCGATCGCAGTGCTACGTACTCCCAGCGAGTGCGCACAAGCGAGGAGGATGTTTATAAACTGCCACCCGCCCCTGCACTGCTCCCATTCGATCGTTTATATACAGATGGGCTGGATGGGAAGTGGTTAAAGACCTTTCTATTTTTATTGCATATCTTTTTTTAGATCCAGTGATGTCACCCACAGGCTCTGCATGCTTCTCAATGCAATGCAGGCAGATCATGGCTGGTGGGAGAGGACAGCAAGTTCTGTACATAGCTTACTCCTCTTATTTATTTCAGGCCGTCAGTTTATGCTTCACTTTACATATATATTGTACATTCACATCAGTCCCTAACCCTGAAGGAGCGTACAATCTACAGTCCCTAACTCACATCAATATATACACATACTAGGGCCAATTAACCTTCCAGCATGTTTTTGGAGAGTGGGAGGAAACTGGAGTACTCAGAGGAAACCCACACAGGCACAGGGAGAACATGCAAACTCCAGGCAGGTGGTGCCATGGTCGGGATTTGAACCAATGACCCTAGTACTGCCAGGTGGAAGTGCTAACCATTTAGCCACTGTGCTGCCCTCTTAAGAGCACTCAACCCTGGTGCAAGCAGTGGACTGGCTCTTGGGAGGATTTATGAAAATATCAAAATGCCTTGATTGGTGGATGCCCTAGGCAGGCTGTATTGGCATGCAGACCCTATGTCAGTGGTGGGCAACCTTTTTTTTCAACTGAGCCAAAACCACGATTGAAATGTATTTTGAGAGCCACATTTTTAAAACTGAAAATACATAGGATGGTACACTGTTTTTAGTTTCAATAAGTTTTTATAGTAATTCATCCCCCATATAGTAATTCATCCCCCATAGTAATTCATCCCCCATATAGTA